GAAGTAGATAGATACTACTCCTGGTTATGCCGTTGATACGGGAAACGCGCAGCAGGACATCATTATCCACAACTTTTCAAGACGCTTAGAGCGTTGGAGGGAATATTGAAAAACAATTTAACCGGCCATAATTATCAGATTCTTAGCCGTTTAATGATCGCTGTGCTCCCTGACGCCGTCTCTTTCGATTCACCTTGTCGCGGCTAAATCGAACATGAGCCCAGACGATTGAACTTTTTTAGGACTGCAATTCCAAGTGGGTTTCCTATAGCCCCCTTGTAATCGATTTACACAATATATTAGTAAAATTATAGGAAAAACAAACTGTTCCAGCCGGCTGAAGCGGTTCCGTTATAACCCCAATTTTCAAGAGACTGACTTCCGGAATGCGATAAACAGAGGTCTCAGTCTGGTCTGTATCATCTACAAGTTACTTGCCTCTGTTGTTCTTCATAGACTACTTGACCCACGGGATAGGCACACCCGGCTCCGTCGAGGTCGAGGCTGCATTGACTACATCCACTTTCCGTGAGCTATTCTATCACCACCACTCATATTAGTGACTCACTCTGTCGTCTTCCTCGACATCAAAGGTGCCTTCGATTCACGGTATCGATATCCCCTCTGGGGCTGTTTGATTATGATAGGTCTACTCGAGAGATTCATAAGTATCAGGATGCTTTGCACGCGTAGTTCAATATGAAGGCTTATGGCAAGCTGTCGTAACCCTACCATATCTCCAGCAGTGAGACAAGCATGGTCGCAGTCACCTTTCTTCTCTAACTTCGCCATCAACAAAGTCATGGAAACTGCTTTTACTGGACACGGCTTAGTAGGTGTGGTTTTGCTCCCAGATGGTCAACTTATTGACTTCGCATGTGCAGTCATTATGACTTTAATATGTCACGGTTCATAAACCTGCCAAGCACCGTTGGACAGATATGCACTGGTCATGTCGTTTCAGGTTCTCTTTTACACCCGACAAATGCGGGCTTCCTTCCATTATTGGTATGGTCCACCACCTGCACTCTCACGGAACCAGACAGAAGTTGCTCAAACATGTTACCACCTAGACAACTATATCAGTTCCCGTGGAATAGAAGACGAAGTGACAAACCGTATAGCAGAAGCTCGAGGTGCTTTTGCTAGTCTTCGGCAATTGTTGCCCGTCAGCTTGATAGATGTGAAATTATTTGGGACCTAATGCGTTGACTGAGTCGGACGCCCTCTGGAAGTCGAAGGACAGCTAGTATCAGTCTGCGGTATGCGTGACACTGCTCCAGCACCTGCCGCAGAATGAATGTATGATTTATACAGCCTCGTCCTGGGCGGAAACCTGCCTGCACCTCCCTAATCTAGGATTACAGTTCCACATTGAGGCGACGAACGAGAAGCGAAACCAGCAATTTTGTCAGAACTGGCGTCGGGCTAATACCCGTGTGGTTAGCATAGTCGATGCAACTATCCTTCTTCCAAATTGCCACTATAATCGGTTTACTCCAGTTTACCGGGATTGTCTCTTTCCTTCGGACCCTTTCGAACAGCATTGTCAGTGCTTTGCACAGGGCCTTACCACCCTTCAATAGTGCAGGTGGGAGGGAATCTGGGCCAGCTTCTAAACTAATCGACAATGGCTTAACCTGCATCACCTGAGTAGGAAGAGGTCCAGAGGCAGGGGGCCAAGGGAACTGATGTTACCAATGCTCCGCCCAACGGACTATACGGCGCTCTTTATTTTGAATCAGAACGCGCACGTTGTCTCTGCTTGTCTCACTGACGCTTGGTTTCCCGGGACCGGTTGTGTGGATACCTTGGAAGAGCTTGTAATAATGGCCTACTGCATCTGCCTCCTCCATTTCCTGAGCCCTATTGGTCCACCAGGCTTCCTTGTCAGCACACATGCTCCGCCTTAGTCCGCGCCTAGTAGTCCGTCTGGTTACCTCGTACTCAAAGCCAGCCGGGATTTTTTTGCATTTCATTAGGCTCACCGACTTCTCAGATATCTAGTGACTGGTGTGCCGACGATTGATAGTGCCGCGATCAGACGCATCTGCGTCCTGCAAGACAGCCGAGATTCTGTTTCACTGAGACCCAATATCGTTAAGATGCAGGGCACCCTCGTTAGTTCACCTGACCGTGGACTGGAATAACTCCTCAGTCACCGGTAAAATTAATGGAAAAGCGGCAGCGTACTAGCGCATTGTGAGAGTCGGCGCAAGTACTCCAGAACGAGCGACAACCCAGCATGGAAGCACGCCACTTGTAATTTACGATAATGTGATCAATTTGACTCCATCACTGGCCAGAAATAGGGGGACACTAAGTATCACTCCGACATCCATTGTGTCTAAAAGGGATGCTACCAAGAAACAACGTGCTCCACGCATACTTGCAACAGACGCTCGCCATTGTCAGTCCGCTCGGAGTTAAGCCCATAATTCCAACCTAGCTGAGCTTCTGAAGCGTTCAGACGACCTGCTTGCGCTTTCAACAACAACAACAGCAGCAGCAACAACAACAACGGTATCCGAACCGGTAACCCTGCGTAGTGTCATGTTCAATTTATGGTGGAAGGTGTCCTGTAGTTGGTGGGAGCATAAGCGGAAACCACAACCACAAAGCGTCTAGTGTTTCTTCGTGAAGCACCCTTAGTTGATGTCTTCAACGGACTGCCCACAAACGGTTGCTCAATCGCGTGTTTTCGCTTATGCGCCCTGCTGTGTGCAGCAGATCTGGCGACCCTTGATAATTTGCGCGACGGATGATGCAATATACGGTTGCCGTTTGAAGAAATAGTCATGGTTGTACGTGAGCTGAGATACTGCCAGGCGCCCAGACCTAAACAGGTGAACGGTTATGGTCCTCAACCAAAGTCTGGCTCAAAAGCCTGTTCGCAAGGCAGCGGGGAGGTGGCAATGATTTAGTTTTACAGAAATGGACGCCATCCTATTTCAAATCAGGCGACTGAGTTTGTCCGACCTCTAACCATTGACGCACCTGGTAAAAGTAGCACTCAAGGAGCCCGGAGGCCCCACCCAGTATAGCTCAGTGGGTCGACGAGGTAAGTAAATCGTTGCACCACGTTAAGGTCCAGTCTGGTTGCCTCGGCCACATATCCCACGTAGCGAAATGTTCGTTTGGGGCCTCGTTCAGCACACGATCCGGCGATTATCTCAGTTTTGCGATAATTTGCGTCCGAGCAGACTTGCAACACTGTTCGCGAATCTCTGTACCTGACTTCGATTCATGGATGCCACGTTTTCCTTATGGGTTTTTCGTGAACCACACGTCACCATCCGTGTCCACCACTAAATTGGATGCATGGCGTGAGACTGCTTAGTTGTATCGCTGTTAGCGTGGCTTCCTAACAACGATTTTCTTCAAGATTGGTTTTAACGTATGTGGTTAAGACTTAACTACTCTTCCTTGACATAGTCCTTAGTTTATAACGCTCCTTAAGTCGACGCGGTGGTTCGGTGCGTTACCATGAGAGCCTGCTCATATTGCTGAACATCGTCTCCTTTGAACAGTCTGTATTTAGACAGGTTACTTATCAATTTATCACAGTACGTGGACATACTTGTGTCAAAAATACCTAAAGTTTGTGGATTTAATCATTTCCCGCTGTCGATTTATGCTCTGAACTGAACATTTCCTCCATTTGAACCTGCGGTATGTTGCATTGTCTTACCGTAAGCAATATGAGACAGCTTGACTGTTGTGTATTCAAAACTATCAAGCAGCACCCGATTTCCTGAAGAAAACAGCCGCACTTTGTTAACAAGTATCAGGCTGAATATTGGTGAAGAATTTACAGCATTCCCTTATCCGATATTTGTAGGAAAGCTTGCGTCGTCTGTAAAACTCTCAGGCAGAAATAAACAGAGACCAATTGTGGTGTTCGATGACAACTGCAGCGAATTTCTTTTTCAAACTGAGGAAGTTCTAAATGTGGTTGCCTAGTAAGATCGAACGGTATTCACCAGAGCATCTTGGTTTGCATTTCAACAGTGAACAGCTAATGCGTCACGATTTGGTGCTTTTTGTTGGCGTGCATCACAACTGAAATTAATCATGTCACGGGTTCGGTTTGCACATGGTGGCGGTGGAATGATACATAAACACTTCGGTTACTAAAACTTCGTCTTCACATATCCATGGAGCCAGGTCTCTCTTACCATATTGACGTCTAGCTTCGATACTCATGCCGGCCGACTGTACTTGCAAACTCTCTCATTCTCCCTAGCTACGTGTACTTATTATAATCAAGTAAAACTGGTACTCACATACATTCCAGTTTCTTCGAATGGCAGTCCTCCCTCGACGACGATGCTTGTTAGCAGAATTATTGTTTCTTGTAGATTCCTTTCAATTCATTCTTTATAATTTGCTTGTGCAATACTGGACAGGTTCCTTGCATGGAAACGCGTGCTACTTTCGCAATATCGCTGGTTCGCAGTATCGTAGCACCAACTATAAAATGATTAGATATAGAAAAAACAACTGGTTTATAGTGTTCTCGAGCCGTGAATCCAACAGCCCCGCATCACCAAGTATGTATGCCTCCCCGCAAGTCAATGGCCCTTCGAAATGATTCTCTATCTCCTCTTTTGTTATCCTACCCCCATCTTTCCCATGAGGGGTTGCTATCTCCTTCCACATTGACAAGTCGTATTTCGTTTTCTGAGACACCTCTGCATTGTTGTCTCGAGGATCTGCATCAGCTCAACAATCGCTGTCTTGACTCGCACGATGTGATGACCGCTGTTCTTACTGTCCATTACTGTCCCCTGTATCTCTTCACCCCCCTTATTCCTGCATCCACGTGTCTATTACAACTATCACAGTCATCTTAGAAAATCGATAACGACTACGGTATTTTGTTCACTGGTCCCGTTATTCCTTGCTTCTGCTCACGAAGCCCCTGACGTTTGAGCACCTTGGCCCACCAATCTCCGCTTAACCTTTCACCTGAATTTACTATGTTCGCTTGCTTTTAGCTTGCTCGGCGTCTAAAGCTGTTCCGTCTCGGTGATCCCCGATTGAAAGCTGCAAGCGGAGGCCGTGCAATTGAACTGTTAGCCTCTGATCTGACTGCTGCCCATCCACTTTTCACCATAACTCATCCCCGTTCACAAGATCGGGATTGTGATTTCTCCTTTAGTGGCATACATTTGGCTGCGGAGCATACGATAGAACTCCTTGAACGCGACGGTAAGTCGTCTCGGGTCCGATATATTTCAGTTTTCGACATTCGCTATTGTATGGTTCGGAATCATTTACCTAGCTTGGGCACCCTGGTCATCTGGGCCCTTCGAATTTTCATTCTTATCTGCAGTTTGCTTTCAAGTCATTCATTCGTGATGTATTAGCCTGATAAAGAACCACTGAAAATGAGCTTGTTCGCCATCGTTTGTTTCTGATGTCTACGCTTTTACTATTTTCTCAGTTACTATTGTTGGTAATTGGTACTCCACCTATACCATAGCCTTATCACTCAGTATCTCTCTGTGTTATGTGAACGTTTCGAACCGCTCATTTCACGTCCGTTGATAAAATCCGCATGTATCCACGGTCGACTGAGATTAGCTGCAGTATGATTTGGCGGCGTCCGTATCCGGATTTGCCTGTCACTGTGACGTCCATGGGGACAGTTACAGGACACCTGCGCCTA